GTGTGTGTGGTTGTGTGTGTGTGTGTTTGTGTGTGTTGTGTGTTGTGTGTGTTGTGTGTGTGTGTGTTGTGTGTGTTGTGTGTGTGTGTGTGTGTGTGTGTGTGTGTGTGTGTGTGTGTGTGTGTGTGTGTGTGTGTGTGTGTGTGTCTCTCTTCCTCCTCTCTCTCTTTTTTATTGTTTCCTTTGGCTTATTGGGTGCTTGTCCTCCACTAACAACACCCGGGGTTAGTGTCCTCCACTAACAACACCCGGGGTTAGTGTCCTCCACTAACAACACCCGGGGTTAGTGTCCCCCACTAACAACACCCGGGGTTAGTGTCCTCCACTAACAACACCCGGGGTTAGTGTCCCCCCACTAACAACACCCGGGGTTAGTGTCCTCCACTAACAACACCCGGGGTTAGTGTCCTCCACTAACAACACCCGGGGTTAGTGTCCTCCACTAACAACACCCGGGGTTAGTGTCCCCCCACTAACAACACCCGGGGTTAGTGTCCCCCACTAACAACACCCGGGGTTAGTGTCCCCCCACTAACAACACCCGGGGTTAGTGTCCCCCCACTAACAACACCCGGGGTTAGTGTCCCCCCACTAACAACACCCGGGGTTAGTGTCCCCCCACTAACAACACCCGGGGTTAGTGTCCCCCACTAACAACACCCGGGGTTAGTGTCCCCCCACTAACAACACCCGGGGTTAGTGTCCCCCACTAACAACACCCGGGGTTAGTGTCCCCCCACTAACAACACCCGGGGTTAGTGTCCTCCACTAACAACACCCGGGGTTAGTGTCCCCCCACTAACAACAACCCGGGGTTAGTGTCCCCCACTAACAACACCCGGGGTTAGTGTCCTCCACTAACAACACCCGGGGTTAGTGTCCTCCACTAACAACACCCGGGGTTAGTGTCCTCCACTAACAACACCCGGGGTTAGTGTCCTCCACTAACAACACCCGGGGTTAGTGTCCCCCACCCGGGGTTACTAACAACACCCGGGGTTAGTGTCCCCCCACTAACAACACCCGGGGTTAGTGTCCCCCACTAACAACCCGGGGTTAGTGTCCCCCCACTACACCACCCCGGGGTTAGTGTCCCCCCACTAACAACACCCGGGGTTAGTGTCCCCCCACTAACAACACCCGGGGTTAGTGTCCCCCCTAACAACACCCGGGGTTAGTGTCCCCCACTAACAACACCCGGGGTTAGTGTCCCCCCACTAACAACACCCGGGGTTAGTGTCCCCCCACTAACAACACCCGGGGTTAGTGTCCCCCCACTAACAACACCCGGGGTTAGTGTCCCCCCACTAACAACACCCGGGGTTAGTGTCCCCCCCACTAACAACACCCGGGGTTAGTGTCCCCCCACTAACAACACCCGGGGTTAGTGTCCCCCCACTAACAACACCCGGGGTTAGTGTCCCCCCACTAACAACACCCGGGGTTAGTGTCCCCCCACTAACAACACCCGGGGTTAGTGTCCCCCCACTAACAACACCCGGGGTTAGTGTCCCCCCACTTAACAACACCACCCGGGTTAGTGTCCCCCACTAACAACACCCGGGGTTAGTGTCCCCCACTAACAACACCCGGGGTTAGTGTCCCCCCCACTAACAACACCCGGGGTTAGTGTCCCCCCCACTAACAACACCCGGGGTTAGTGTCCCCCCACTAACAACACCCGGGGTTAGTGTCCCCCACAACACCCCCGGGGTTAGTGTCCCCCCCACTAACAACACCCGGGGTTAGTGTCCCCCCACTAACAACACCCGGGGTTAGTGTCCCCCCACTAACAACACCCGGGGTTAGTGTCCCCCACTAACAACACCCGGGGTTAGTGTCCCCCACTAACAACACCCGGGGTTAGTGTCCCCCCACTAACACTAACAACACCCGGGGTTAGTGTCCCCCCACTAACAACACCCGGGGTTAGTGTCCCCCCACTAACAACACCCGGGGTTAGTGTCCCCCCACTAACAACACCCGGGGTTAGTGTCCCCCCACTAACAACACCCGGGGTTAGTGTCCCCCCACTAACAACACCCGGGGTTAGTGTCCCCCACTAACAACACCCGGGGTTAGTGTCCCCCCACTAACAACACCCGGGGTTAGTGTCCCCCCACTAACAACACCCGGGGTTAGTGTCCCCCCACTAACACTAACAACACCCGGGGTTAGTGTCCCCCTAACAACACCCGGGGTTAGTGTCCCCCACTAACAACACCCGGGGTTAGTGTCCCCCCACTAACAACACCCGGGGTTAGTGTCCCCCCACTAACAACACCCGGGGTTAGTGTCCCCCCACTAACAACACCCGGGGTTAGTGTCCCCCCCACTAACAACAACACCGGGGTTAGTGTCCCCCCACTAACAACACCCGGGGTTAGTGTCCCCCCACTAACAACACCCGGGGTTAGTGTCCCCCACTAACAACACCCGGGGTTAGTGTCCCCCCACTAACAACACCCGGGGTTAGTGTCCCCCCACTAACAACACCCGGGGTTAGTGTCCCCCCACTAACAACACCCGGGGTTAGTGTCCCCCCACTAACAACACCCGGGGTTAGTGTCCCCCCACTAACAACACCCGGGGTTAGTGTCCCCCCCTACTAACAACACCCGGGGTTAGTGTCCCCCCACTAACAACACCCGGGGTTAGTGTCCCCCCACTAACAACACCCGGGGTTAGTGTCCCCCCACTAACAACACCCGGGGTTAGTGTCCCCCCACTAACAACACCCGGGGTTAGTGTCCCCCCACTAACAACACCCGGGGTTAGTGTCCCCCCCCTACTAACAACACCCGGGGTTAGTGTCCCCCCACTAACAACACCCGGGGTTAGTGTCCCCCCCCCACTAACAACACCCGGGGTTAGTGTCCCCCCACTAACAACACCCGGGGTTAGTGTCCCCCCCTACTAACAACACCCGGGGTTAGTGTCCCCCCACTAACAACACCCGGGGTTAGTGTCCCCCCACTAACAACACCCGGGGTTAGTGTCCCCCACTAACAACACCCGGGGTTAGTGTCCCCCACTAACAACACCCGGGGTTAGTGTCCCCCACTAACAACACCCGGGGTTAGTGTCCCCCACACTAACAACACCCGGGGTTAGTGTCCCCCCACTAACAACACCCGGGGTTAGTGTCCCCCCACTAACAACACCCGGGGTTAGTGTCCCCCCACTAACAACACCCGGGGTTAGTGTCCCCCCACTAACAACACCCGGGGTTAGTGTCCCCCCACTAACAACACCCGGGGTTAGTGTCCCCCCACTAACAACACCCGGGGTTAGTGTCCCCCCACTAACAACACCCGGGGTTAGTGTCCCCCCACTAACAACACCCGGGGTTAGTGTCCCCCCACTAACAACACCCGGGGTTAGTGTCCCCCCACTAACAACACCCGGGGTTAGTGTCCCCCCACTAACCAGTGTAGGGAGTCACTATGGGAAGTCACACTCCCTCCATCTTTATTTCACCTTTCTTGCTCCTTCCTCCTTCCTTCCGTCCCTGTTTCTCCTTCCGCCTCTCCTTCACTCGCGTCCTCTCCAGTTCCCCTGAAGCCCTGGTTCCTACCCCGACCCTCGCCTTACCCTCCCCGTCACTCTCATCCCTTAAACTTGTTACAAGGGCGGGTGGAGGGAGGCAGGGCTCACCTACAGGTGCCTGGCTGTCCGCCCTTCCACCTCATCAGAAACAAAATTAAAATCAAAACAAATGACAGTCATGGTTCACAAGGAATCAAACACCGACTTGAACCGTGTTCGAACCCGTGACTCGAGACTTGCATCGTTCACAACGAGTCTGTACTATAAATACTCACGACATCTACGTAAATGAAACTCGACTATACATAAACCTACAATATGTAAGAGGGAACGTCTGTTTGTTAGTCTCTATCCTAGGTTGGAGGCCAGACGCTCAGGGCTAGCCTTACGCAACTTTGCAGGGTGAATGGTCTTGGGTATGGGACGGATATGGGGAGTCTGGTCCCAATAGTGAATTTACTGCCCTACGTAATTAGTGAAATGTGGCTGGCACAGTCCCTGGACTTATTTTTACATATTCTGAGAGACATAGTGTAGAGTGGGCGGGGGGAGGGAATAACGGAGATGGGGAGAAGTGAGATGTTTGAGGAGAGGGAAGGAGAGGAGGAGGAGAAAGGTGGAGACGGGAGAGATTGGGAAAGTGTGTGGAGAGGGAAGAAGAGGGGGGATCGTAGGGGAGAAAGTTGCATAGTAAAGATATGGGAAAACAGAGAGGGCATAAGGCAAGATAGACGAGAGAGGGAGGAGATTTGGGAGAGAAGGGTGGGAGAGGGGGAGAAGATGGGGGTAAGAGACCCGGGAGCAGCAGGGTACCCCTGCAGTATATAACATTTATTGACACTTCTGACAAGTTTGTCATTATACAATACAGAATAATCCTCCAGTTGGTTGTTTGCTGGACAAGTCAAATACTGACTTACTAAAAACTAAGTCAGTATTTGACAGCCCTGACTGAAGGAGGGTTTAATATTTGAATACAATTCTTATAGTAAAATAAAGATGTGTGTTTGGCCTCATTGCTGATCGTTTCATTGGGGAAAATTGTTCTCAATTCCTAATTTCCCAATCAATAAAATCATCTAAGATGTTCCTCTCACATCACCTCACTTCTCATCTCTCTCACCAGCGTCATCAGGTCCAGTTCCCACTTAGTTCTCACACGAACAATATTTTTACCTTTCTTTTTTACCTTGTGTAGAATCCTTTTTTTAAAGTTTTAAGAGGCGGACACGCTACATCCACCAGCGGACTCTCACGCTACGCCCACATCCACCGGCGGCCTCTCGACGCTACGCCCACATCCACCGGCGGCCTCTCGACGCTACGCCCACATCCACCAGCGGACTCTTGACGCTACGCCCACATCCACCAGCGGACTCTTGACGCTACGCCCACATCCACCAGCGGACTCGTGACGCTACGCCCACATCCACCAGCGGCCTCTCGACGCTATGCCCACATCCACCGGCGGACTCTCGACGCTACGCCCACATCCACCAGCGGACTCTCGACGCTACGCCCACATCCACCAGCGGAATCTTGACGCTACGCCCACATCCACCAGCGGACTCTTGACGCTACGCCCACATCCACCAGCGGACTCTTGACGCTACGCCCACATCCACCAGCGGACTCTTGACGCTACGTCCACATCCACCAGCGGACTCTTGACGCCCTCTTCAGCAGTCGTGCAGTTGGGTTAAGTGAGAGTCTGACTCTTGAGGGGGCGGCAGAATGGCGATCAGGTGAACTGTTGTGTCGTGACCACCGTGTGTATGTACTCGCCTAAATGTGTATGCAGGGTCAAGCATCAGTTCCTAAGCCCTGCCTTACATATATATCTTAACTATCACCTGCACTGTCTGGGTCTCGAACCCTGGACCCAAAGTGTGAGATGCCGACGCTCTATCCACTGGGCTATGAGCCGTCTTAAAAAAGGAACGCCGAGGCGAATGGAATGTTTGTTCCTACGGAAGTGTGGATGACAATTTGGTATGTCGTTATCACGTCTCCTCGATTTTTGTCTCACATGTAGTGAGGTTCATTTTCCTAAGTTTATCATCATAGTTCAATGCTCACAGTTCTGTATTCACCTAGTTGTGTTTGCGGGGGTTGAGCTTTGCTCTTTCGGCCCGCCTCTCAACTGTCAATCAACTGTTTACTAACTACTATTTTTTTCTCCACACACACACACACACACACACACACACACACACACACACACACACACACACACACACACACACACACACACACACACACACACACAAGAAGCAGCCCGTGACAGCTGACTAACTCCCAGGTACCTATTTACTGCTAGGTAACAGGGACATTCAGGATGAAAGAAACTTTGCCCATTTGTTTCTCCCTGGTGCGGGAATCGAACCCGCGCCACAGAATTACGAGTCATGTGCGCTAGCCACCAGGCTACCAGGCCCCAATATCTGTTACTGGCCTCGCCGGGTACCTCTGGACCTTCTCTCATGGGTGTGTGTCAGTGGGAAGGTGAACAGTGAGTAGTTATCAACACAACCTCGGGAGGAGGTCCGGTATCGTGGGTGGAAAGGGGAGCAGTGAATTGAGAGTTGAATTTGGAGTAGAGGAATAGTGTTGGGGGGGGGGGGGAGGGCAGTGCCAGGATGCCGGGAGGGACAGTGATAGGGTGCCAGGAGGGTCAGTGCCTGAGTGATATAGGAGGGTACTAACACTGGCAGTGGGGACAGGGGGCGTGGGCGAACTCAGGAAAGGGGGGGGAGGGTGGATGAACGGATGAAGGCCCAACCCTTCATCCAGCATGAGGCTGGATGAAGGGTTGGCCGAGTGGGTGTTCAATGGATTTTTTTGGGAATACTTAAATTCTGCCTCATACATAGTTCCTCCTCTGCTTTACTGCCTGCGTGGTGCCCAGCCCTCAGTTCGTTTTCTGATGTGATCTTTGCCCAGAAGTGGCTCCAAACACACTAGAACAGTCTGGAGGATCAGCAAGCTTGTGGTTCTTCGCAGTCGTTCATTTTTCCCTTTCTTTCAAGAGGGACGAGTCCCTTGAAGGGGGCAGAGGCCCTTGAAGGGGGCAGAGGCCCTTGAAGGAGACAGTACGCTCAATACACATGACCCGTATTATATTTATATATTATATATATATATATATATATGTCGTACCTAGTAGCCAGAACGCACTTCTCAGCCTACTATGCAAGGCCCGATTTGCCTAATAAGCCAAGTTTTCATGAAATAATTGTTTTTCGACTACCTAACCTACCTAACCTAACCTAACTTTTTCGGCCACCTAACCTAACCTAACCTATAAAGATAGGTTAGGTTAGGTAGGGTTGGTTAGGTTCGGTCATATATCTAAGTTAATTTTAACTCCAATAAAATAAAATTGACCTCATACATAATGAAATGGGTAGCTTTATCATTTCATGAATAAAAAATTTGAAAAAATATATTAATTCATGAAAACTTGGCTTATTAGGCAAATCGGGCCTTGCATAGTAGGCTGAGAAGTGCGTTCTGGCTATTAGGTACGACATATATATATTATATATATATAATCGTATCTAGTTCTCCTTTTTCCCGAGTTTGTATCTGTTTTCTAACCATCTGTGTATGATCAGGTGATTACCTTGAGGGGTTTTCGGGGCTCAGCGACGCCGCGGCCCGGTCGTCGACCTAGCTCTCCTCGTTGCTAGACTGGTCAACCAGGCTGTTGGATGTGGCTGCTCGCAGCCTGACGTATGGGGTTTAGTTCTCCAAAACTTCTTAACTGTTTCGTGTCAATGTCGATGTATAATTGAGATATTGATCAACTTGCTCTCAACTTCTCTGTTAGACTTGGTGGGTGTACGGCGGCCAAGCCTTGACCGACTCCCTGTGGTGTCTGATCAATTGTCTTCTGGGCCCAGATTCACGAACCAGTTACGCAAGCACTTACGAACCTGGGGGCTAGATTCACGAAGCAGTTACGCAAGCACTTACGAACCTGGGGCCAGATTCACGAAGCAGTTACGCAAGCACTTACTAACCTGGGGGCCAGATTCACGAAGCAGTTACGCAAGTACTTACGAACGTGTACATCTTTCCTCAATCTTTGACGGCTTTGGTTACATATATTAAACAGTTTACAAGCATGAAAACTTGCCAATCAACTGTTGTTATTGTTATGAACAGCCTCCTGGTGCTTCGGAGTTCATTAACTGTTTAATAATTGTAAACAAAGCCGCCGAAGATTGAGAAAAGATGTACAGGTTCGTAAGTGCTTGCGTAACTGCTTCGTGAATCTGGTCCCTGGCCCTTAATGCTCACCTGGATGTACTCACCTAGTTGAGATTCATTACTCACCTAGAGTCGTTCAGAGTGAATATCAGGTCAGGTCCGGCTGGTTCATTGTCTTTCATTCTTGTGGCTCCCTTGACATGTTGGCTCAGAGAATGTGTGCGTGTGTGCGCGCGCGCGCGCGCGTGTGTGTGTGTGTGTGTGTGTGTGTGTGTGTGTGTGTGTGTGTGTGTGTGTGTGTGTGTGTGTGTGTGTGTGTGTGTGTGTGTGTACTCACCTATTTGTACTCACCTATTTGTGCTTGCGGGGGTTGAGCTTTGGCTCTTTGGTCCCGCCTCTCAACTGTCAATCAACAGGTGTACAGATTCCTAAGCCTATCGGGCTCTGTCATATCTACACTTGAAACTGTGTATGGAGTCAGCCTCCACCACATCACTTCCTAATGCATTCCATTTGTCAACCACTCTGACACTAAAAAAGTTCTTTCTAATATCTCTGTGGCTCATTTGGGCACTCAGTTTCCACCTGTGTCCCCTTGTGCGTGTTCCCCTTGTGTTAAATAGACTGTCTTTATCTACCCTATCAATCCCCTTCAGAATCTTGAATGTGGTGATCATGTCCCCCCTAACTCTTCTGTCTTCCAGCGAAGTGAGGTTTAATTCCCGTAGTCTCTCCTCGTAGCTCATACCTCTCAGCTCGGGTACTAGTCTGGTGGCAAACCTTTGAACCTTTTCCAGTTTAGTCTTATCCTTGACTAGATATGGACTCCATGCTGGGGCTGCATACTCCAGGATTGGCCTGACATATGTGGTATACAAAGTTCTGAATGATTCTTTACACAAGTTTCTGAATGCCGTTCGTATGTTGGCCAGCCTGGCATATGCCGCTGATGTTATCCGCTTGATATGTGCTGCAGGAGACAGGTCTGGCGTGATATCAACCCCCAAGTCTTTTTCCTTCTCTGACTCCTGAAGAATTTCCTCTCCCAGACGATACCTTGTATCTGGCCTCCTGCTCCCTACACCTATCTTCATTACATTACATTTGGTTGGGTTAAACTCTAACAACCATTTGTTCGACCATTCCTTCAGCTTGTCTAGGTCTTCTTGAAGCCTCAAACAGTCCTCTTCTGTTTTAATCCTTCTCATAATTTTAGCATCGTCCGCAAACATTGAGAGAAATGAATCGATACCCTCCGGGAGATCATTTACATATATCAGAAACAAGATAGGACCGAGTACAGAGCCCTGTGGGACTCCACTGGTGACTTCACGCCAATCGGAGGTCTCACCCCTCACCGTGTGTGTGTGTGTGTGTGTGTCTGTGTGTGTGTGTGTGTGTGTGTGTGTGTGTCTGTGTGTGTCTGTGTGTGTCTGTGTGTGTCTGTGTGTGTCTGTGTGTGTCTGTGTGTGTCTGTGTGTCTGTGTGTCTGTGTGTGTCTGTGTGTGTCTGTGTGTGTCTGTGTGTGTCTGTGTGTGTCTGTGTGTGTGTGTCTGTCTGTCTGTCTGTCTGTCTGTCTGTCTGTCTGTCTGTCTGTCTGTCTGTCTGTGTGTACGCGTGTGACCGTTTCTTCCCTATACTAGTTAGACAATTGGGTTTCCACAGCGCCTTCTAGCCATTCCCTCTTCCCCTTCCCCTTCTTTGATCCGTCTCCGCCTCCCCTCCCGTCATCTTCCTGTCCTCTCCTCGCCCTAACTTCCTGCCCCCCCAGTGAAAGACGGCTCCAAGGTCCTGGCCCTTTGGACTGTCCTGGAAGGCAGCCAGGCCCCGGAGACGTCCAGGGCTGACTCTACTGAGGGAGAGAAAGGGAGAGAGGGATAGAAGGGAAAGAGAGAGAAGGGAGAGGGAGAGAAGGGAGAGGGAGAGAAGGGAGAGGGAGAGAAGGGAGAGGGAGAGAAGGGAGAGGGAGAGAAGGGAGAGGGAGAGAAGGGAGAGGGAGAGAAGGGAGAGGGAGAGAAGGGAGAGGGAGAGAAGGGAGAGGGAGAGAAGGGAGAGGGAGAGAAGGGAGGGAGATTCCGTTCGTTACAGAGAGCAGGAACTCCCCCACACCAGACAGTGGTGTGGGTGGCAGAGGGATAATAATTAGTGAAGGGAAAACTACGTTAACAATGAACTGCCGGAGAGTGAACAGGAAGGTCAGGAGAGGCGTTTATCACAAAGAAATCACAATGGGCGTGATACATCGGTGAGAAAATGTATTTTGGGGTAATGGGGGGGGATTCGAACCGGCGTTCTGGTGATTCCCAGACACCTCGTGGCCTTTACCTGCAGGCCAGGGTGTAGGTAGGCCTATCGTAAAATAGGTAGAATTTTGGGTTGATACGCTTTTGTGGGTTATCTTCTTGAGGTTATCTTGAGATGATTTCGGGGCTTTAGTGTCCCTGCGGCCCGGTTCTCGACCAGGCCTTCACCCCCAGGAAGCAGCCTGTGACAGCTGACTAACTCCCAGGTACATATTTACTGCTAGGTGAACAAGGGTATCAGGGAAAGAAACTCTGCCCATTTGTTTCCGCCTCCGCCGGGATAGAACCTGGAACCTTAGGACTACGAGTACCGAGCGCTGTCCACTCAGCCGTCAGGCCCATATAAAGGGAACCTATAAAGGGAACCTATCAAGTGAAACGCCTCATTTTACTTCCCACAAATATCTCGGTTCTCATAACTGTGCAGAGGTGGTTGCGTTAGGCAATGTTCAAATGCACATTGAACTTTTAATATCTTTAATTTGAACTAATGCACGACATTTGTGCGTTCCAGTGAGTTCCACCCTGACCACGTCCTTCCCTCTCTCTTGACTAGTCCAGAGTGACCTTGTGCCCTCTCGTCATGGTCTAATATCGATTAAAGTGTGTTCTTATCGTGATTGTCAAACTAAATCTCTTGTATATTGTGAACATAACCCCTCTGAGATTCGTTTCTCCAGCATTGGTATTCAGTTTCTTCAGTCTCTCCTCGTAGCTCTAAACCTTTACCTCCGGGATCAGTTCGGGAGCACATAGCTGGATCTTTTTAAAGTTATTTTTTGTATAGCAGATTTGCCGGGGGTCATACAGGTGCACTTATAAAATACTGGTTTAACAGAGGAAACATTGAATCTTGTATAGCTTCTTATTTAGTTGCCAGAATCCTGCCAGACCGAGTCACTGATTTTATCCTTGTTGTTGTTGTTGTTTAAGATTCGCTACCTGGAACAAAACGTTCCAAGCAGCACGGGCTATGGCGAGCCCGTTTGACTTTATCCCGCTTATCAAGTATTAGCCCCAGACGTGCCCAGCCCTCTCAGCTGGTACGCTTCTGCGTCGTCTTTTATTGTCAAACCTTTTTTATTTTCCCTTTTAAGGTTAAACTATATTACCCTGGCGTGGGACCGCGCCTTCCCCTCTGGTGGGTATTTGGGGTCGTGTCATTTGTCCTGGACACCCGAGGTCCAGAAGGACGTCCTCGCGTGAGCGGGCGCCTGCGTCCTCGCGTGAGCGGGCGCCTGCGTCCTCACATTAACGTGGGTGTCCACGATGCTTCTGACCTGAGAAGTCGTGAGGTATTAAACATTTCGCTGTTATTTTAAATATTTTCAAGAGTTAAGCTCTTGAGAACAACTGCTTTTACAGCAGAACTGAACCGCAGCTGCCCTCGCTAATGGTTCTGACCAGAGGGGCCCCTCGCCACAGCTTCGGACCAGAGGGGGCCCCTCGCCACAGCTTCGGACCAGAGGGGGCCCCTCGCCACAGCTTCGGACCAGAGGGGGCCCCTCGCCACAGCTTCGGACCAGAGGGGGCCCCTCGCCACAGCTTCGGACCAGAGGGGGCCCCTCGCCACAGCTTCGGACCAGAGGGGGCCCCTCGCCACAGCTTCGGACCAGAGGGGCCCCTCGCCACAGCTTCGGACCAGAGGGGCCCCTCGCCACAGCTTCGGACCAGAGGGGCCCCTCGCCACAGCTTCGGACCAGAGGGGCCCCTCGCCACAGCTTCGGACCAGAGGGGCCCCTCGCCACAGCTTCGGACCAGAGGGGCCCCTCGCCACAGCTTCGGACCAGAGGGGCCCCTCGCCACAGCTTCGGACCAGAGGGGCCCCTCGCCACAGCTTCGGACCAGAGGGGCCCCTCGCCACAGCTTCGGACCAGAGGGGCCCCTCGCCACAGCTTCGGACCAGAGGGGCCCCTCGCCACAGCTTCGGACCAGAGGGGCCCCTCGCCACAGCTTCGGACCAGAGGGGCCCCTCGCCACAGCTTCGGACCAGAGGGGCCCCTCGCCACAGCTTCGGACCAGAGGGGCCCCTCGCCACAGCTTCGAACCAGAGGGGCCCCTCGCCACAACCCTGGACCAGAGGGGCCCTCGCCACCGCCCCGGACCAGAGGGGCCCCTCGCCACAGCTTCGGACCAGAGGGGCCCCTCGCCACACCCCCGGACCAGAGGGGCCCTCGCCCGGGACCAGAGGGCCCGGGTATCATTAAGGGAACACGAAGCTCCGGGAACCCCAGTCAGGATCTGTACGTTATGGCTTATATCTTCTTTTTAATTATCTGAGGCAATAAAGACAGTCGCCCGTGTGGTGGGGCTAGTTGGTGGTTATTAAGGCTGGTGGTGGTTGGTGGGGTTGGTGGGGATGGTGGTGATGGTGGTGGTGGTGGTGGTTGGTGGTGGTGGTTGGTGGTGGGGGGTGGGTGAGGGAGACCGCTGTATTTCCAACACTTCCAACATTCACAACACACAAAGTTCACATCCAAATTAATACCATTGGAAAGACATTATACGACTCTTGCATCAAGGTGAATAAAATTCCCCCAAGTATATATCTATACATGTCCTCGATTTTAATTCTCCAACTGTATAAAAAATATAAACGCATTCCATACTTTTTTCATCTCTGGAAAAAAAAAACTTTTTTTCCAAGTGCTATATAGTCGCAATGGCTTGGCGCTGTCTCCCGATAACTCCCTTCCAACTATTTTACAAAAACAACCATTTTTGAACAGACGACACAAATATAGGAATGCGTTTATATTTTTAAGAGGTACTGTCTTACCAGAAAATTGCAAGATGATTGGTCTTAAGTTTAAGCAACTTGCATCGTGTATAAGATTCAAGTCAAGGTTCAAGTATCCCAAGTTATCGCTGCTGCTGAAGTAATGTTATAGTGAAGTCAAACCCCAGAATATTCCACGTCGATAACCTTACCTCACGCTAAAGTCTCGGAGTCATAATCGTTTAGTAGTGGCGGTGATGGCTGCCTTGAGACGCAGACCACTCCGCCACTTACAACACCAGTCTAAAAGAAAAAAAAAATCTTATACCACAAAAGCAAATTCGCGGTAAAGACCTCGTTATGAGGGCTTTCATGGGGTGAAGTTCTTGGCTGCACAAGAAAGGGTTATTTGCAATAGGATCTTATGTTGTGGGAAAATGCTGCCATCTGCATAGTGGCTCCGCTCCTACTGGAGGCTGAGGGCTAAGAATTTTCGTTTCACGGTCTTGACTCTATATGGGTTCTCCGTTTGATTTCGTTCACTTTGTTCTTCCACTGTTCATTTTCACGTTTCGTAATTCTGATATGTCATTATTTCGTTATTCTTCCCATTCTTTCCTCAGTGGACTCTTTTTTATTATTTTTATTATTATTATTATTATATTACTTTGGATGTCTCTAAATTTCTTTTGTTCGACAAAATAAAACAATGTTTTCACATTTTCGTGAATGGTTCTCTGGTTTCTTTCATATTTTTGTAGTTCTTTCTTAATCAGTTATTCGTATTATTGCAATTATCTTTCCTTTGGTACTGTGCCCTAATTTAATATCTCTCGCCTGTTCGGCCGTTCGTTCATGTATTCGGTCGTTTGTCCACGACTTCGTTGTTCATTCACGTTCTTCTTGTCGAACATTCCAAGAGTTATGCTGTTAGTTCGTGTTCAGCTGTTCTCTCGTGTGCTCGCTCAGTCCTGTTGTCCGGTCTTAGGTCGCCTGTTTGCTCAGCCCGTTCCCAACGACACTAAACTGTTGTGCTAAATGCCCCGAACCTAACCTACCCGAGGACCCAAAACAGAAAACGGGGATGTGTCAATTTCTCGAGCCGCTGCCATTTTTCGTACACAAGATGCGGGCTTTACGCGAGGCCAAAACCGTCAAAATACGGAGTACTATTAGGAGAACGGGTACTTTTCTTGCCCATCGTCACACTGTACCCTATTGGGTCTGTACCCTATTGTACCAATAGACTCCAGTCTTCCTGTTAAGTCTTGCTGGTCTGTGAGGTTCCGTTAACAGGAAGATGAGAACAGAGGAGTTATACTGGGTCTATGGAAGGCAGCTTCCTGTTTTTTACACCCAATTAGGTTCGTTATGAATATGTCTGGCCTACGCTCGAAACACTCCGGCGAGCTCTCGCGTGTGTGTGTTATGTTGCCCGGGAATTTCTCCATGAATCAATAGTCGTAATCCCTAACCAGGGATGATCTGGTTATCTTGATATATTACATGTGCAGGCACACATGTAGTGAAAAGGCACATGTGTAGTAGAACCGCAGCTGTAATTATCTAACTTGTCATATATCTCCTGATTTCTCTCTCCCTCACTCCCCTCCCTTTTATATATCTATCTCTATCTCCCTCACCCTCCCTCCCTCCCTCCCTCCCTCTCCCTCCCTCCCTCTCTCTCTCCTTACTTCTACAATCCTTGAGCTGAGCAAGAACTGGCAACACTGCAAGCCACATAAAAAGACCTCAAACCGTATGGCAACAGGCAGGATTTTCGACTTTTCATGCCCTCACGACCCCCAGCACTGCCTTGCCCCACTCCTGCCGGCCGCTCCCTTCTGTAATGACCACTTCCATTTGGTTTCAATCTACGGTGATACAGAAGCTACGACGGACTAGAGGTTTCTCGTAGCATAGTGAGTGCTAAGACGAACACGTGCGGCAGGGAGGGAGGTAGATAAGACCTGGCTTAGGGTAGTGAGGATTACGGGGCTCACCATAGCCCGTGCTACATGGACATTCCGTTCTGAGTAGCTAAATCTAAAACAACAACGGTAGTGAGGAGGTTGTTAAACCCTGGCTTAGGGTGGCGGGGAGGTTGTTAAACCCTGGCTTAGGGTAGTAGTGAATAAGGAGACAGATTGAGGTAAAAAAATTTCAGAAACGGTTGGGCACTTCCATGCCGACTTGACCCTGTTGGGCCAGATCGTCCATTCCTCTTGTTTGGGTGGTTAGGTTAGGGCACAGTCAGCGCGCTCCTGGCTGGCTGGCGGTGGTCGGGTGGTGGTCCCCCCTGGGGTCCCGGGGGGGGACCACCACCAATGGTGTACCTGAGGAACTGGTGCCCTATCCTAACCTGTTTTTTTGCACGATTTGTCTCGAGCTTTTAAGATGAGTCTAGGGCCTCAATGAGGGGGTCTCTACTTATGAGAGGTACCGAGGATGAATGTTCAATAGTTGGAAACCAAAAAATACACTGGTGAAAGGCGTATAAACGTTTTTGGAGTATTTTAATGGCATGAGCAAAAATGCACGATTTGTCCCGGGGGTGTTACGAGAGTACTACGGTATCAATTTGGGGGCCCTTACTTTTGAATGGATCAGAGGGTGAATGTTCAATAGATTCAAACCAAGAAACACAGTTGAAAGCGAATATAGAAGTTTTTGGAGTACTTTAATGAGGCTATGACTGAATACTATAGGGAGTCCTTGGGTACAGCTCCATTTTCTGTAATGGTCAGAGGTGGATAACCCCAGTGGGGGTCAAGCATACAAGGGGGGGTCAAGATTCCTTACAAAGACCAAGTTTGGATATATAGGTGTAGTAAGCCTTATCTTGAATTTGCATGATACTGTGGGATACATTGACATGAAGGGCGAGTCATAGGACAGGATCTGCATGTGAGATGGGTCATATTGGGGTTTTAAAGAAGTTAAGATAGCTTTAAAGAGTCCTGTGTGCTTGATAGTGGGGAAATGTTCAGTCAATAATTCTCGTGTTTTGAATCTGAATGAGGGGTCCTAGTTTGCGTTCTAGTCGTAAAATGAGTTCCTTAGTATATTTGCTATGGAAAATGAGCTTTCAGTACTCTATATAATTTGAAATGAGGTCAAGAAAGACATGTTTATGTGCGGGAAGAGTCAGGTTGGAAACTGTTTATTTCAGTCATCCCCCTTGGCTTTGCTCCGTTTTCTGTAGCTAAAGTAAAGATTCCAATTTCTGTGGTATTCAGTTGAATACTGGTGAAAAAAGGCTTACTTGCATTTGTATGGTTCTAACCTGTTTATAGATATATTTTTCGGGCCTCAAATTAGTTTTTAATATGAAAAATAGCATCAAATGTATGTCTATCTTTTGTAATAAACGCTACAAGCATTAACAATACCTGTGATATTTCATAGCATACGAAAAGAAGTTTAAATAGTGGGGCCTCAGCCATATTGTGTTGGGGTTGACACTCCAAACATTAATTTGACACTCGTAAATATACTATAAAGGAAAGTAGTTGAGTTGTTTAAAAAATTTAATACATTCTGGGAATATGTTCGTATTCTGTATTAAATTTCATTTTTTAGCATCATAATAGTTTTCAGCTATTGTGGTGGGGGCCCAATAACTTCATATAGCGCATCGACTTATGTCAGTGCCGTGGTATATCAAGCGCAAAGGTTTTCAGAAAATGTTACACCTCCACCTTTCAAAAAAGTGAAAAGATGAATTCATTTTGGCATTACTGTCATTACTTTGGAAGTTTTTTAATTATAGCACATGCTTAAACAAACTCGCTGGCAAAAACAAACTCATTTTTTTTTGTTTAACTTGCACAAATAAACCCAGGGCTTTCACATTCCCGCAAAATACTTAGTCCCCCCTAAACTTAAAACAGTTGCACAATCTTACTTAAACACATTGCTAAACTCTTATACACAAACAAAAACTCAATTTTTAACTTACACAAATAAACCCAGGGCTTTCACATTCGCGCAAAATACTCAGTCCCCCCTAAACTTAAAACAGTTGCACAATCTTACTTAAACACATTGCTAAACTCTCATACACACAAACAAAAACTCAATTTTTAACTTACACAAATAAACCCAGGGCTTTCACATTCGCGCAAAATACTTAGTCCCCCCTAAACTTGAACACTCACAATCTTACGGTGCTTTAATTTCCAAAGGCTTCCAAACCTGCACAGCTGACTGCGGCTGGATGGATTACAATTGAGCCAAAAACAGTTGGTCAGGGCGAGATACGGCCTCATTTTTAGAGACATTTACTATAGCAAAAGCTTGAACGTCGAGAACTGAATGCGGGCCTGCACGAGAGTTGTTCTTGGCACTCAAATGTTTAGAGATTAAAATACATAGAATCTGCAAGAGCCCACCCAAGTCGCTCACGCGGGCAATAGACATGTTTTTCGCCCAAGTGTATTTATTTAAAATAAAAATACGTCAGATAGAAAGATTTTTCGCATTGCTATTATATTTACCTTATAAAGCCTCTTTATTAAAATGATATGCCACTGTGTATTATGATTGTTTTATATTAAAT